AATCTGTTCCAATGCATAAACACTTATTAAACTACGGGTTACCTTGGTGGGATAATGAGTGCACCAACGCTATTAAAAGGAAAAGACAAGCATTCAGAGATTATAAAAACAACCCCTGTGAGACCAACTTCCTGGAATCATTAAGAACCCGGGCACAAACAAGACAGCTGCTACGTAAGAAGAAAAAGGAAGGCTTTGTCAACTTTTGTGAGAATCTATCTCCAAATACTAGTGCAAAAGAAGTTTGGAGCAATATTAGAAGGTTTGCTAAAGGTATCAGGTACGAAAATTATCATTTTCTCTCGAATTTCTCAATCCCACAAGATATGTTTGATCTTTTGACGCAACCTCCCTCTATGTTGCGTAACATCCCCGAATGTCGCTTCTCATCAGAATATACAGAAGACTTCCATATCTCAGAATTTGTCGCGGCTGTTAAAGGTCGGAAGAGCAAGAGTCCCGGTGTGGATAAAGTACCTTTCAGTGTGCTCAGCCATCTCCCTGTTAAAGGAGCAGTCTTTCTTATCAAATTTTTCAACAAAATACTTCGGAGGGAAACCGTCATTCCAGAGACGTGGAAAACCCAAATGGTGATCGCAATTCCTAAACCGGGGAGAGACCCCTCAGCGTTATCGTCCTACAGGCCCATCAACCTAGCTTCTTGCATAAGCAAAACTTTTGAAATTATGATCAAAAACCGACTGGAATTTGTCGTAGAGAACCAAGGTTTAATAGACGTTCACCAAACTGGTTTCAGAAAGGGTAAGGGAACTTTCGACAATCTTGCAGTTATCTCCTCAGAGGTACTCTGCCGTTTGGCTCGCAATCAACTAGCAGCAATGGTGACTTTGGACATATCCAATGCATACGATAATATAAATGTTGACTTATTGACCTCGGTGTTGGCCAAAATTGGAATCGCTAGAGATTTGACTTTGCTCATTAAAGATTTTCTCACGAACAGGAAGATACAAGTTTAAGTTCCATCTACTAATGCATTCGTGTCAGGCAGAACCACCAGCAAGGGAGTTCCCCAAGGTTCCCCTCTTTCTCCATTACTATTTAATATTTACATCAATTCAATTAAAGAAACAATTCCTGAGAACATAAGACTTTTACAGTTTGCGGACGATACCGCCTTGCTGAGTACTGGGACTGATGCCAAAACAATAGTGAACAATTTGAATAGAACTTTGCAAAATATACATATTTGGTCTTTGAATGTAGGACTTGAGATTAACCCCAATAAATCTGCATCTATATTTTTTTCCAGGAAGAGTTACAAGGTTAATTATCTCCCCAGACTTCACCTCAACACTCGAACCATTGCATGGAGAAATTCCATCACATATCTAGGAGTGATTTTTGATCCAAAACTGTCATGGGAGCCACAAATTAGAAATATGATACAGAAAGCTTCAGGTGGGTTCAATATGATGCGATTTATAAGTAGAATTTGGTGGGGGGCACATCCCTCTACCCTTCTAACTTTTTACAAAGCTTATGTTAGACCCCATTTGGATTATGGAGCCTCTTTTTTGGGTGGTAGCTCAAGAAAGTCTATTGCTCAACTTAACAAAATTCAATTTGAGGCACTGACAATAGCTCTGGGATATATAAAGTCCACACATACTAACATACTTCTAGGGGAAGCAAGTGAAATGGATTTAGAACACAGAAGATACATGCTAGCGACTAAATCATTATTGAAAGCTCCCAGTTTAGTGGACAGTGAAACCTTAGCTGCGGTTAGATGGTTATATCACCTATAATGGAAACTATTACTTTTTTCGGAAAAAGAGTATTCCTGCACTTGTGGATGCTTTTGAAATAGTTGAATTCACTGTTAGATACACTTTACAGGAGTCCAGTTTATCCCTATTTCTCTTGTCCACTGCCGAACCTTTTAAGCTCTGTTCAAATCCAAGACTTAAAACTAAAGAAAGATAATAATAACTCCAAATTATTTGAAATTAAGAAGAGCGAGACTTGGACCCCAGATTTTCATTTAATTTTTACAGACGCCTCAAAAGATAAAGAAGGTCGAGTAGGTTTTGGCGTTTACAACTACAATACGAACCTTAAAATGGGACCAGGCCTACCAAGTGAACTATCCATTTGCTCTGCCGAGATTTATGCTATTGGTCAAGCTCTTGATTGGATTGAATTCAGACTCCAAAAGTGCCCTCGAAGATATCAATAAAACTGGGATGGATGCAAAGTCTAACTACCTAACCTTGCAGGTTAAGAATAAACTATTTACCTTAATAAAAACGCAAAATAAGGACATCCAATTATGCTGGATACCAAGCCATACTAATATAAAAGAAAACGATGTTGCGGACCAGATCGCCAATGCTGCACGCCTCGAACCACAGGAAAATATAAAATTGAGCTTTAGGGAATTCTTCCCTAAATTAAAGCATAACATCTGGAATGCTTGGAGCGACAGATTGAAACATATAGGATTAGGGAAAGGAATTAATTTCACCTCACATTATTCTACTCCGCCAACTAAACCCTGGTTTCATAAGCTCGACTTGAATAGAAGAGAAATCACAACTATGTGTAGACTGAGAAGCAACCATTGCTGTTTTCCGGCTCACCTAAATAGAATCAAAGTCCAACTCTCCGGAGACTGTGAATGTGGAGAACTGGGCGATTTAAGTCATGTGCTGTTTGATTGTGCTCTTCATTGGGAAAAATCACAACAGTTGTATGAGTCACTCATTAGTGCTAATTTTCCTTCGCCTCATATTAATTCCATTTTATTTCACCGCACTCAGTTGGATTTTGCTGCTAGAATTGATGCATGTGGATTAAAACTTTGAATATTGTTTTCACATATTCTAATTCTTTCGTCCATTTTTTTTTCCTGTATAGCCGTCCAGTAGGATGATGGTATCACCCAGACCCTCTTTACGGAGGCATCCTTCATGGAAATAGTTTATTGCACACCACTACCGAGAAGCTGGCCGAATTGCCTTAGCAGTAGTGGCCAAATAAAGCGTAATTAAAAAAAAACCAATAAAATACATCCTACATCTATGGTCCGAGGAACGAATGTAGACTAGGGTCTAGTTAAGAAGGAGGTTATGTCAGAATGAGACGCGTGGTTACTTTGTATTTTTGGATTCATCTTTTTTCATGTTGCGTTTTGTAGTGTCAATATATTGTTGAGTTTCGGACTTGTTTGAATATCCCGAATTGACCATTTCCTACAACAGGTTATGGGCCCAGACATGCTGTGTGAATAAGAATTCGGGAGTCGTAAAAGTTAAAATATACGTTTCTAAAACGTAGTCGAAAGAGAAAAAAAGGCAATACCAAGTTATTTGGGAACGTTAAAGAGTTTGGCATAAAAACGAACGCCACAAATAATAGTGATGGCAGAAGGATTGCAAGTCGTGAAGTTGAATGGAGAAAATTCAACACTTTGGAAATTTCAAACATTGGTGTGTTTAAAATCCAAGGGACTGTTTGAAGTTGTTAACAAGGCTGCTGTAAAACCGCCTGGCGACGAAACGGATAAGAAAGTTACAGAATGGATTATGAAAGATGCAAAGGCTCAAGAAATAATTGTGTGTAGACTGGAGGAAAAGCCCTTATCCATGTATTGGCATGTACCACAGCAGCGGAAATGTGGCAAAAATTGGTGACAATCTATGAAAATAGATCTCAGATAAGTGCACATTTATTGCAGCAGAAGTTTTTTGGCTTGGAGTACGGCGAAGTTGGCATAGCTGGGTTGATATCGAAAATTGAAGAAATTCAAGGAAATCTGAAACTACAAGAAGATGAAATAAGCGATAAAATGGCAATCACAAAGATACTTATGTCTCTACCCGAAAGTTTAAAGTACTTTGTTTCAGCGTGGGAATCCATGCCAGAAGACAAACAAACTTTGTAGAACTGATGTCAAGATTGTTAGTAGAAGAAGAAAGAAACAAACCTAGTAGTTCAGGGACAGCTTTAGTCACAAAAACATTTAGGTCAAACAAGTTTCAACAACAACGGAAAGATATAGTATGTTTTCAGTGCAATAAAAAGTGTCATATAAAGAGGAATTGTCCAGAAAAGACCAAGAAAATATGTCACTGCTGCAGAAAAGAGGGACACTTAATTAAAGACTTTTGGTTTAACAAAAATAAGAAGAAAAAGGAAGAAGGTGGTAATGCAGAAAGCGATGAAAAAAATGCAAAAGCAAACGTTTGAACAAAAATCTGTCGGCAGAAGCTATTAACACTTCAGTTTTTGTGTTAAATAGAATTGGATGTAGTTCCATTCCGAACAAAATACCTTATGAATTTGGCTCCAAAGTAGCGGTGCACATAATTAAAAACAAAAGAAGGAAATTGGATTCAAAGAGCAAACTTGGAATTTTGGTAGGATATGGACAGACAACTAAAGGGTATCGAATTTTATTTCCACAAAGAGGGGAAGTAGAAATCCACAGAGATGTAGTGTTTATACCAGATAGTGAGGAGGCTGACCGAAAAGAGAAGAAAAATGAAGTTAACGTAGTTTTGTTAGATTTGGACACAGACATAAACAGTGAAGATAAACCAATACAAGAATCAGAATTTGAAATAGACATAGAGAATGCAGAAGAAAGAAAAGAGAATGAACAGTTGAAAAAGAGAAGAGTTAGAAGACCAGATTGGATGAGAGACTATGATGTGACCTTCTACACCGAAATAGAAGAACCTATGAACTTCGAAGAAGCCATAACCAGTACAGATAGTGAAAAATGGAAGAATGCGATGGAAAAAGAATTGGCAGTGTTTCGTAAAAACAATACGTGGACTGAAGTGCCTTAGCCCGTGAATAAAAACGTCATAGATAGTAAGTGGGTGTTTAAAAAAAAAGGTGACCGAGAATATAAAGCAAGACTTGTTGCGCGCGGTTTTCAACAAAGAAGTGATCCTGAGTTGTATGACATATATGTTCCTGTAGCAAAGTTAACAATTTTCCGCATCTTACTGGTAGTAAGCAGCAAGATGGGTAGACCAATACACCAAATGGATGTGAGAAGCGCCTTTTTGTATGGAGATATAGAAGAACAGGTATTCATGGTGTTACCAGGTAAAAATAAAAGTAATAGTAATACAGTATGTAGGCTAAATAAGTCGCTGTATGGTCTAAAAAAATCTCCATAGTGTCAATCAAGGTTTTGACCGATCACAGAATGATTATTGTTTATACTTTAAATTGAATAAAAACAGCAAATCATTTGTATTGTTATATGTTGATGATCTTTTAATATTATGTACAGATGACAGCGAATTAGATAGGTTAAAGCTAGTTTTAAATAAAAATTTTCATTTGAAAGATTTAGGAGTTATTTCAAATTACTTAGGTATAGAAGTTAAACAGAGACTAAATGAAGGACTTACTGAATTAGGACAAAAAGAATATCTAAAAAATGTGTTAACTCGTTTTGGTATGCAGGATTGTAAATCCATAAACACTCCTTTAGACAGTAATATAGATTTGAAAATCTTTAAATGTGAAAAAGTTGACCTGGCATTGCAAAAATTATGCAGACGTATTGTGGGAAGTTTAATGTACGCCGCAATGGGGTCTAGACCTGATTTATGTGAGAGCATTAATTTGTTAAGTCGATTTCAAGACAAAGCAGACAAAAACTTATACAAAGCTTTAAAAAGGGTTTTGCGTTATGTGCAGGGCACACTTGATTTAAAACTAATGTTTAAGCCAGATGACAAAAATTTGTTAATAGGATATGTTGATTCCGATTGGGGTGGAGATACGATTAATCGCAAATCCACCACAGGTTTTATATTTAAGATGTTTAATTGTACTATCGCCAGGGCCAGCAAGAAGCAGCAAACAGTAGCCATATCATCAACAGAGTCAGAATACATAGCGTTGAGTCTAGCAGTAACTGAAGCATGTTGGCTGAGAAAAATAATGTATGATTTTTTTTTTCATGTTGATAGCCCAACAACAATATATGAAGACAATCGATCAGCAATTTGTATAGCTCAAATTCCTGAAAACAATAAACGAGTAAAACATATTGATGTTAAGTTTTACTCTATCAAAGAAAAGATCGATGATGGTATTGTAACTGTAACATATGTTAAGAGTGAAAATCAACTGGCAGATTTGTTTACAAAACCATTAACATACGTAAAATTTAAAACGTTACGTTTAGGTTTAGGTTTAGAATAGAAAAGCTAAAATAAGTGTTATTTGTTATGGACCATAACCTTGTAAGGAATTATTTTATTGAGGGGCGTGTTGGTAATCGTAAAACGAACCAATAAAATATATCCTACATTTATGGTCCGAGGAACGAATGTAGACTTGGGTCTAGTTAAGAAGAAGGTTAGTGCAGAATAAGAGACGCGTGGTTACTTTGTACTTTTGGATTCATCTTTTTTCATGTTGCGTTTTGTAGTGTCAAAATATTGTTGAGTTTCGGACTTGTTTGAATATCCCGAATTGACCATTTCCTACAACAGAAACACTGGAGGTATACTTCAAGAGTGCCCTGCAATATGAGGAAAAGCGCTGAAAGACTTACCCTTCAAGGTGGTGTACACTATCAACAACTTATTTAGTTTTTATCTTATAACTTAGTTTCAAAAAGCTTGTTATGAATTTAATAATGGACGATTAAGTATAAAAATTATTAACAGCAGGTAGTGTTTTTTTTTACATGAGAATCACTTAAAAACACAAACTGGTTTCTCTGAACGCTGTCATATTAACGATATTGTTATGAACATGCAGATAAGAGGTTTTTTAAGCGAAAACCGTACATCAGATTGAAAAAAATAAAAAAAAAAATTTCTGCAGTGTTTCTCATATTAAATTTTCTTTTTGAAATGGAAACATTCAATTAGAATACAGCCTGTACAATTTTTGTTAATATATATCAATTCGTATCAACTTTTTTCCTTTGTTCCTCTGTTTCCTTCGCTTTTCTTCAGCTTATCTAACCTAATGCCAATTGCGATCGCCGAAGGACTAAAAATTACCTTTAAAATTTTCGTTTCAATCCCAACTTTAAAATCGATCACCTACGCTAAGAACAAAGCCCTTACGTTGATACGCATTCTAGTTAGAAAGGGCAAGAGAGGAAAATTTTAATTAGATACGAGTTTGTCTATTTTAACAAATATAATATTATACTAAAATATAAAGAAATAATTTTCAATCGTACAACATAATTGATCCATTGAGTGGAAAAAGGTATGTGAACCACGGAAAAACAAGGATTTCATTGCATTTTAAAAAATATCTTTACAGAAGAATATTAGGAGAACTTAAATGGTCCGAATTCGGGAGAGAGTTTTTAAAAAGATTTATTAGCACAGAAAGCGGAACAAAACCGGTACAGAGGCTGGAATAATTAAAAGCACTTTTACAATATAAGAAGCGAATATATCTCTCTTTTAGCGGGGAGTCAGCAAGGGGTTATTTTCACTATGGGCTTCGTCTGTGGTCCGGGTACATAACTGAGACGCCTTTTTTTGTTCATTGAGTTGTTCATTACTTGTATAATTAAAAAACGAAAAAGCTTAAATCAAAAAATCTATTATTGTGTTAAACGACCCATTGATTTTTTGGTACAGTTTAATATTCATAACTAAGTACTCTATCGTATAGGTCGGTGTAATTTTTAGGTAACTGACAAAAAAACACTGGAGACTGCTTTGGAAGTAGGTTACAGACATTTCGACACTGCATATGTATACGGCAACGAACATATCATCGGCAAGGTCCTCAACAAGTGGTTTTCATCTGGAAAACTCAAGAGAGACGATGTTTTCATAACTACGAAATTGCCATTTCACGGCAACTATCCCGAAGGGTAATATTCTAATAAGGTAATATTATGGCAGGAGCTATAACTTCTGTTTTTCATAATGTGGAGAAATTTCTTAAGGAGTCCCTGGCGGCCCCACAAATGAATTATGTTGACCTATATTTAGTCCATTCCCCGATTCGAATGAGAGGCAGGTGTGGGGGCGTAGACGGATTGTCTATGGATCATGTAGGCGTTTGGCGCGTGAGTCCTATCTAAAAACTTGCACGAAACTAATATTGAAGGGATTATTTTGCAGGAAATGGAGAAACAGGTGAAGGCGGGTCGCGCCAAAACGATTGGCGTCTCTAATTTCAATCAAAGACAAGTAGAGAGACTTCTTAAAGAGGCAGAAATTAAACCAGTCTGCAACCAAATCGAATTAAATGTGTATCTACCTCAAACGCAATTAATGGAATTCCTCCAAGCGAATGGAATCGTTGTAGTTTCGTTTTATTCTTTAGGAAGCTCTAGACCGATAGAACGACGAGACAAGATTGGCTTACCTCAAACAGTACGTATATTGCGTATTGGACATCCGTTAAATCACTTATAATGGTTTTAGGCTGCAAGATCATCCGGAATATCCTCACCCTGTACGAGACGACTAACCTGGCTTTATTTGTGTAATATGCCAAATAAAAAATATATAAATGTATAATCTTTTACGACTTTCGCACAAGAATTGTTTCGTTCCACTTCACTAAAAAAAATTGTTTGCAACCATATGGTCTTGCTAAATACTACTTGCAGTTTTTCCATCATTCTGTAATACTTTTTCTTTAATAAAATCGTTGGAATAAAAGCAATTAACAACCAGTTCTAATTATATATGCTCTAAGTGCTTTAATTTCCACTGCCATCATCAATCGGTACAGCGTTTAAACAAATTTCCAAGCTACCCATGTTTACAGTAATAAGTAGAAATCCTGATACGAAAATTGTTTATTCATGATGCAAAGTTGCAAAAATTAACATTTTATTCCCAAACTAAGACATTTAATTCAAAATTAAAACACAGATAATTTGAACTATAACCGGCAACCCAATTGGATTAAATTTTTCTTCTAAAAATAAAGACTTCTGACTTCTAATACTGCCGGTCAAAGGGCCAAAGTTTTAAGACATTTGCCATCATATTTACATGCAATGTTTTCTTTAGAAAAAAACAATCTGAATCCGTGTTAAATAAACCAGGGACTCATTCTATAAGGCAATACAGCCTAAATAATAAAATGTCCCTATGAATAGCTAACAATGTCTTGGTAGTCTGTACAATATGAGAAAGTTTTAAGGCTCAACCAGATCTACAAAAATAACTGAGGGAGGTATCAAAGCTAGTGAATAATTCTAGAGCTGTTATATCAAATTTTTTAAATAATATTTATTACAATCCCAGTAACTGACACCAAAATAATAGAATTTAGTTAACCGTAGTTAGGTAACCCACATTCCGCGGATTTAGTTTTTGTACTTTTCTCCATAGGGCAGTTCGACGGTCTTTAATAACTCGTCCATATCAACAGCTAATAACAAGGAAGTCTGCACATTATATGGAAGTCTTAAGGCTCAACCAGAACTATAAAAATAACTGAGGGAGGTACCAAACCTAGTGTGGAATTTTAAAGCTCAGTTATATTATATTATTTAAATATTTATAAATAAGATTTCTTACATCGTTGTGACAGACTACCATAATCACGGAATTTAGTTAACCGTAGTTATGTAACCCAGATTATGCTAATTTAGTTTTTGTACTTTGCTCCAGAGGGCGCTTAGATCAAATATGGTTAGATCAAATATGGTTAGTTTTGTGATCATAGTTAATTCGAAGCCCTGAACATCTTCTTTTTTCTCGTAACGTTTGCAAATTGGCTAAGGGCATTTGCCCGTTACCGACTTAAGTCGAGAGGTTTTGTTAAATTTCCAAGCGTACTCAAAATTAACACATCACACTACACTCCATGAACAGCATTGGTTCAATGTTACCGAGCCCAGTCTAAACTTTTAGCATAAGAAGTATGTTTACCAAAAGTAAAGCACGTGCAATTAGAAAGCCACATATAGGTTTAGCAATTATTTTTCTTAAAAAATTTTCATTTAATAATGGAATACCATAGTTGACCACTTTTCAAACATGTGCTATTCAATTTAATGTTCTTAACTAATAAACACGAACAAGGAAAACGAAAATGAGGATTGAGCAAAGTTTTAAACAAAAGTAACAGATCTTTAATATTTTCGAGATTTTTATTTGTTTAGTAATTTAAAATTACTACGTAACTTAAATTTTAACTATTTTTATCTATTTCACTATTCTGGCGCATTCTCCAAAAATTTAAAAGAATCTCCTGAAAATTTGGCAGGCGGGTAGATCGCGTCTAGATCATCATTTTTGTGCCCAATAAACTAATCTCTCAACTAGTAAGGGAAAGCCAGGAAATGGGTGGAAATTGGGAAAATTCAAAGTGTTCATGAGCGGTTGAAATTTGGCAGGCAGGTGGATCTCGTCGAGACGATCATTTTGTGTCCAGTAAACTTTTCTCTAACACGTAAGGGAAAGACAGGAAATTGGTCGGAGACGGTTGAAATTTGGCAGGCGGGTAGATGGCGTCGAGAGCACTCTAAGAACTTGATGACAAAAATCGAGAGGTTCCAATGAACCTTGGTAGGTCTACACGGCAAAAAAATCATATGAAATCTTTCACCGAAAATTCACTAACTGTTTTTTGCCATACTGGTGCGTCCAAGAAACTCCTGAATCTGTTCGGGACTAATTCAAAAAGTGACAAACTGCAATACAGGCGTGCTTTCGTTAAACGGGCACATTTAAAGATATTGTCCCATGTTTTGAGGTACCAAGTTTTCGAATATTTGCAATGCGGCATACTTTATTTGACGTCGTTTTTTTCATTTGAAGCTTCTAAAACATCGCGTGGATTTCGCGTTGATTTCATTGGAAAATTACGCCTTTTGGCGGTTTTTAATAGCATTACATTATTACATTATTTGAAAGTCTTAAGGCTCAACCAGAACTACAAAAATTATTGGGGGATGTATCTGTATGTATAAGTTAGTGTGGAATTTTAGAGCTCAGTTATATTATATTATTTAAATATTTTTAAATAAAATATCTTACATCCCAGTGAGACTACCAAAATTACGGAATTTAGTTAATCGTAGTTATGTGACCCAAATACGCAGATTTAGTTTTTGTACTTTGCTCCAGAGGGCGCTTAGATCAAATATGATCAGTTTTGTGACCATAGTTAATTCGAAGTCCTAAACATTTCTCCTTTTTCTTCGTTTTCGTCGTAACGTGAGCAAATTGGCTAATTGCATTCGCCAATTACCGACTCGGTCGATAGGTTTTGATAAATTTCCTAATGGTGACATCTTAAAAGTCTAGTTTATCGCAACCCAGTTAACACTGTAGTAGAGCTGAAGGATCGTATAAGAAACTGTTGGTAATCGTAAAACGAACCAATAAAATATATCCTACATCTATGGTCCGAGGAACGAATGTAGACTAGGGTCTAGTTAAGAAGAAGGTTATGTCAGAATAAGAGACGCTTTTTTTTTTTGTTCAACCAGGTGAAGTGGTGGGCACAATTTTACCTCGATCCGAGAAAATTTTCATTTTTTTGAAGTAATTCTAGTCGTCAACTGAATTTTTCGGTCTGGGTGAGTTTTATATTTAGTCAGCAGTAAATATTTGCTTTGGTTTGGTGTCGCAGTTCGCAATAATTTAGCGCTTTTCATATCATGACATGTGCTTCGGGGGGTAAAGACCCCCCTGATAGAAACGATCGTATCGTAGTTAATAATCCGATAGTGTACGCAAATGATTTTGATTCCTTTCAAGCTCAACTAAACTTGTCCCAAGCTTCTACCTTCTCTAGCAGTGGTTATTCATCAGCCTTGACGCTTTCGCCTTTAGCTAAGAAAGCAGCACATGCTATCGCTCAGCATCAATACTTCTTAGTACCCACTAAGGAGGAAATAGATTTAGTGGAGACAGAGTTACAAAAGCTTAAATCTGTCTTCGTGGAAGATCAGGATGCCCTAAACGAAATTGCAAGAATTTCAGTCAACATAAGGAGAACACTTAACCGAAAGTATAAATATGAACTTACCGACCAGGGACCATTTCTTATCATAATGGAGGGAATAACTTCTCAAGTTGGAAACATTCACCCGATGAATATTGGAAAAATTTTGCACAGAGCTGGAGTACAAGGTATAACAAAAATCAATAGAAAAGGAGCTAATAAAATTTTAATTGAATTCAGAACATCAGAGTATGCTAATCAGTTTTTGTCAAATGAAAGTTTCAGTTCTGCTAGACGCTATAATAGGTACATTCCACAACGTCTTGTCACTTGTAGAGGACTAATCAAGGATGTAGGGGACCAAATTACGGAAGAGGATTTTTACTCAGAAGCGATAGCTTATAGAGGAGAAGGATCCCGGGCCAGGTCGATTAAGATATTAAATGTAAAAAGAGTCTTAAGAAGGAAGAAAATACTTGCTATTTCTGGTGAAACAGTAATGAAAACCATCCCCACAAATGATTATATTGTAACATTTGAAGGAAAATCATTACCCCAAACTGTAAATATTTTTAATAATGAAAGAGAAGTGGAAAAATATGTTAACCCGGTTATAATGTGCGTCAATTGTTACAGATTTGGACATGTCAAAAATAATTGTAGAGGCAAGCCTCGTTGCGGTTTTTGTACAGAAGATCATCTTATGTTTGGTTGTGAAAAAAGAGAGCAAGCAATGTGGACGAGAAAGAGCAATGGACTGTAATTTTTTGTTTAATTGAAGCTAGAAATAACGGGGCGATTTAAAAAATAATATATTGATGTAACGAGACGAAAAATGACAATCTCTTTTCTTCTTGGCCTACCTTGATGTAGCTCTGGCTGTTGACCGGCACAATTTCGCAATACTTGACGGCACTCGAGATATTAATTCTGGCACGCGGAAAAATGCTCTCACGTTGGTCTCTGCCTGAGTCCTACTAGTCCCTATCACAGCGGAGTACGACACCCAAGCGACATACCAGTTTTTCTGGCCATATACCCAGTGAGATTGTCACCAAAATACGCGGAGAATATAACCGCAGCAATTAATTAAAAGAAAACCAATTTCAATTTGCTCGATATAAAAATTCCCCAATTACAAAAATTAAAGAGGAATAATAAAACAAAACAATTCCGACTGGACGGAACATACCGCCCACCTAAAATGGCAACATTTTATTAATGAATCCAAAAAAAAGAAAATAATTAACAAAAACCGCAATAACAATTCCGATACCCACGCGAATTCTAAGCTTAAAATTAAAAATTAATATATTGGAAAACATTAATAACTAATATATTGGCAAAGGACAAACCTTTAAAACTAGGCGTTTGAGAATACCCTTTGCCGTTTTAATAGAGACTACTCTCACCACTCCGTCCATCGACTTCTGTTACGCGCCCCAAATGCCAAGCCAATGGAGGAGAGAGATTTTATTTAATTAACACCAGGGTGTCAATTTTAATATCAGTGGAGGGATCATACCACTTGGATTTTTGGTTAAGGGTGTGAAGATACTCACGATGCCACCTTTTCCAAAAATCCTGATGCATGCGCTGTAATAACTGC